TAAAAACAAAAAAAATCCAAATATATCCATACTTGTATCCCAACTGTCTGTGTCTCAGTCGAATTCTCGTAGTTAATACAAAACATGATCACCTATACTGAAATTATGTTGGTACATATTATTTGCTGTGCAGTCGTATATATCTCTCATGCTATACACGAGATGGTAACCTATATAGACAGTATGATTTGTAATTAACYACTTATAGTTAGAGTGTATGATGTTATAAATTAGAATTAAATTTACTAGCAACGAATTGAATTGAATGTATCAAATTATATCTAATCTGACACGCATGGCACAACTAGGGAGATTTTTCTGGGGGCTAAAATTGTTTCACCAAACCTAACCTAACCTAAGCAGACCCTAATAATTTTAAACTAAAATATGATTTAAAACTGCAGGGGACCAACCCGTCTAACCTAACCTTAATTGGGCCTATATTCTGTAGTGATGACACGCTAATTATTTAATATGTTTGCATTCACACTAAAAATCATGACAGTAATTAATCATATAAACATGGATAGTATTTTTTTTTAATCATATCAGTATACAAAAGTACTAATAACATTATTTCATTTCTTGTAACACAATATAGGTAGTGGGTGCCGCATGCGGTAGGTTGGGTAACTTAGTGTGTTGGTGTCACAAAAGTATCTGTAAAATAGCGCAGAACAAAATTTACTTATTTAATAATCAACCATCACTCGTATTCGATAATTTTAGTTAGTCAATATTACCGTAATAATTTTATTCTAATATTTTGCATTTTGAACGAATGGATTTTAAATTTATGCTATAAAAAAATATATCAATAACTTACAACTTTTAACCAAGTTAGACATTTAGGGAATATTAGAAATCAACTAATGCAATATTCTAATTTTATTAGTTTAATAATAAAGCAACTTAACTAAACCGGTTGAATAAACTTGCTCAGCTTTTGTTAGTTAGATATAAAATAATAAAGTACCTAATACGTGTTATTATTGATTTTATAATTTTTATATATTATAAAATAAATGGCGTTACATAAAAATTTTCATAAATACAAACATGAACCTATCTTTATTTGGTAGCCATATTAATAATTGATACTTCATTGATACTCCTGTAATGGGAATATTTAGCGTCTTAGCCGAACAAAATATTCGAACCATTCAGTATAATATGCTATTTCAGTTTAACCCGTCGATTGACAACAATGTTATGTAAAAATGTATGATTACGTCTATTATTATTGTAATAGCCAATAATTGCAGGTTGTGTTATACCCATCTGTTATTATATACATATAATATATTTTAATAAAACAAATTACTAGACGGTCAATGATTGGGCAGTTATATTATAATAGCGATAGTGCTTATACATAGTACGTCCAAGAGCAATTGTAGTTGTAATTTTTACTAATTATATGACCCATAACGCCAAGGTTTAGTTTGTGTATAGGCACCAAGTCAATAAATTAC